GTATTGGGTGATTGTCATACAAAAGTAGGCATACAGTATTGTACAGTACACTAGTGTAGTCAATTGACTCAACTTTTATAATTTTATAATTTAATTTATTATATTTATTCATGTTTTTACTGTATATGAACAAATTGGTAGCATGATGATGAGTTGTCATTAGACCTAGGTCATAAACAAGCCAAAGTTACATTCCATATGTACTGCACAGAGTAGGGTAGGGTAGGGTAGGGTAGGGTAGGGTAAGAACCCAATGAAAGAGTTGTGCGAAGACTTTGTGTGTTTTGTCCTTTAACTGAGGTTTTGTGGTAACACTTAATTGGTGTCTAAATAATGTCGTACAGTATTACTCCATATACTGTATTACACTTACTGTACACAACATTATCGTTGAATGGCGTCCTTACAGATTTCAGGGGTTAATTATCATAGTATCATGACGTATATGGAATTATATTAAAAAAGACCTTTCTCATTTTATAATTAAATAGTTTTAATCTAATATTTCATGAACAAACTTTATTTTTAATTCAGAATAACTTAAAATTAGTTATACATACTAGAATAAATTAAAATGAGACAAAATACTAAAACAAAATATAAACAGAATTAAATTTAAATAATTATGTAAATAGAAAGTTAAATTAAATTATAAAATCATCAATATTGTATAGTAATGGATGTATCGGTAATAAATTATTATTACTAATAATAAATTGTTAGATAAATATATAAATACTGGCATATGCTTGATAAACAAATTAAATGATACAGTACAAATAAATGAACAAAATTGTGTTAAATTATTTGGTCATAAATAAGACATTTAAAGATCTTATAATTCAATTCATTATATAATTAGTCAATACAGTATAATACAGTACCGTATATTGTAGAATTAACAATATCATTATGCTGCAATTGACCAATGTCACCCTATCATACATAATATGTGCATATGTGCAAGCATATTCTTATGTATGTTTAATATGGTATAAGTTATCCTAGATTTTGTTTATCAAACAAAAAAATGTACTGTAATTAAATGATTGACTTTTAATATAATGGTCACAATTATACGTTGTAAATAAATGATCTGGTATATAAATAAAGCAAATAATAATAATCGGGGTTATTAACTGATATGAATATAACACAGGAGTAAATAAAAGCAATTCTTATGATAAACATTGAATGAATTGCCAAAAATAATAGCTGTATTGAGAGGCGAACAGTGGGTCAGTAGGGGGTCAGTAGGAAGTCGTGTGAGTGGTGTCACGACTTGAGTCGAAAGGATCCGGCAGTTGACGAATTCAATGGATGAAAATAGCTTTAGTTTGCCATAAATTATATGTCATAAGAATTATCATAAGAATTAGTATTCTGTTAGCGAACTAATACAGAGTATAACTTAGTATATGAGTAGTCAAAGAGCGCCTACTTTGAAGCCACGGGCTTCCCGGCCAACAGCGAGGCTGGTGTCTGGTGGACAGGGAGGAGATAAACACAACTTATTAATTAATGTCATTAACACATCAATCTATCGTAACAAACAACAAACATATCATATCACAGCAATTAAATGAAAACAAAACAAACCAAATAGATAACAACTATTAATATTACGGTATATCGAAGTCTGTTTAATAATGAATAATCAAAACAAATCCATACAAACAATGCAATAAATATTGTTATTATTCATATCAATAATAACTTAATAACATTCTTATAATCAAAATAACAAAATAATATATAAATAAATAAAATGCATAATCATTAAAAATATTGTAAATCATATAATCATATACAGTATAATTTGTTCATAAATTGAGAATCATTTCAACAATATTAAAGGGATAAGAGGAAAGGGATGGCAAACATGTTATGGGTTTACAAGTGTAGCGGACGAGCGATGATTCTTAGGTCCACTTACGTTAGCCAAAGGACTGCTTCCAGTGAGTTGGGAGACAGCCATATGGACTTTAGTGATGATGTCGAGCACTTCACCCGTCAGTTTGCCGGCGCCCACCTCACCGTCGCCATTGCTAACCATAACCACTTTATTGCATTGAGCTAACGGTGCGGCCACTTCAGCGGCAATCTATTGGGCAATCAAATCGATATGAATATAAACTGTGGACTACTAGTGGGCACAAGTAATATGCATTGCATAGTATTGAAAGTATAGATAGTATTGAGTGCAACCTTAGGCAGAGTTTCCAAAATCATATCGATTTTGGCGGCCGACTCGTACTCCTTGTATGCGTTCGCCTTTTTGGCCATTTGTTCCGCTTCTGCCTTCGCTTTGGCCTCAATGGCGAACGCCTCGGCCTCTCCTCGCAGTCGCAGCGCCTCAGCCTCTGCCTCGGCCTCCATAGAGTTTAAAGTTTAAACTGATAATACAGTTGCCAATAATTTCTATTAAAGATTAAATTGCTCAATTAGTAATCAACTAATGTTTTAATCCGTTAGAACTTTATTGATAATGAGCCAGTCAATATTAAGTTTGCATTGTTTGATGTAATCTTTACCCTTTCCCTCCCCTATGTTTGTAATTGTTCTCATTGTCTCACTTAAAAAATGACTTTCAGTTGTGCTTAACCCCCACCCCATCCCTAAAAAAATCATTTTAAAATTACGGTTGCTTTGAGTTTGACATCAAGTAATTTAATGTCAATTTAATTTATACTAACTTCAGAATCAATTTAACACAAGATTTCAGTTTTAAAATGAACTCACGAGTCACTCAATTCAAAATTCATTTATTCATTCAAAAGTTATCAAACAGTTATCAAAAGAATAACTTTCATAATAATGAATCCCTTAAACCCTCTCAACTTCCCCCCTCCCCCTCGTTCGCAAAATTACATTTTGTCCGACCCCTCCCTTCAAATGCGAACGTAATATTTAAATGACCCCTAAGTTCTTATTCAAATTTGAATTTATAATTTTTAAAATTAGTCTAATATCCTTTCAACAGCAACTAAAAACTTCAATTAAAAAACTAAATTTTAAAGTTATGGTAAAAAGCAACTTATGTATTGCATAGGTCCCAATTATATTGGTCACTTTATTTATAATCATTTATTCACAACATTTTGTCACACAATCAATTCATCGATTAAAACCAATTTAGATGATAAATATCTGCAATGATTTAACGAAATGAGTCTTTCAACTCTTCTTTTCAAATGACTGTAATAGTGCTAAACAGTACTGTACTGTCATATTGAAAGAAGAGTTGAAAGACTCATCTCATTAAATAATAGCGGATATGACTACAGTATTGTTAATATACTGTAATACAGTAACTGTAGTCATATTTGAAAAGACACTTCCCTGCTATGCCTTAAGACCTAACAAATAAGTACAATATTGTATAATGAATGCAATAATAACAAGGATTATAACAGGGTTTTATTAAATAGATTATGAATAACTACTACTTTATATGAGTCGTGTATACATTGAATAAAAGTTTTAATGATTTGTTCACTCATCAGTTATCATAATGACTGCGAGTGTGGAAGATGTGGCTCAGGAAAGACATGTAAGATATGTATACATACTCTCTCCGGTCAGGTTGATGACAGCGTCGTTCCCGAATTTAGCCTTATTTTTGGTTTGATAGTCCATAGTCTCTCACAAAATGTATTTTTGCAAATGTGATGACAATATATAATATATATTAAAGATTAAATTCTTAATACTAAGATTAAAACACCAACGAGGTGTATCCAGTTAAATATATGACTGAAATATTGTCAATTTGAATGTAAATATATTAATTTGAAATGAGTCTAAATTATAGATTATGAACCACTCGTGAAATGGTTTTATCTGAAGTTATATTTAAAATAAATGAATTATAATATGAATTGAATTGCATGCGCATTCAACGCATATGATATTCATATCATATAAATATAAATATAAGCTAACATATTAACTATTCATGTAACACTATAATAAAAAGGTCTTTTTAGTGTAATGCTACTACTAATAAAAAACGATCTTAATTATAATTATTGCATTAATTCAGATATAAATTATATGTTATTAATTGAATTATTGAAAAACACATTAAATGAAAACTAATAAAAATATATATAACTTATAAAACTTATAAACAATATATGCGTTATATTATATGAAATACTAAATGTTGAATACAAGTAATATTAAAATCATTTATGTTATGTGATAAATATACTGTACTATATCCCAACTAACGATACTAAAGTTTATATACTTGTAGTTATATTTACTGAATAATAAAAGTCTTTTATTACTACACTGTTATTATTATTATTATTTTATTTTTATCTAAAACTTATTTGAATGCATAGCAGTGGCGTAAAAATGAGTGAATAGAGAGAGAAAGTGTCTGCATATGGGGTACACTTATTTCTTTAAAGTTGGCTTTCAATTCATTTCAATGGGAATTGGATAAATTTTGGGAATTCAAATTATTTGATTCAAATCTTTCTATTTCTATCACTTGAGTTATATTTATAAGTACTCAATACCTTTAACTCCAAACGGATTAATTTAGGAAAATACTTTTGTCAATCTTTAGTATAGTTTTGTTAACTAAACGTACAATACATAGAGAACGAAGGTTGAGCGATTGTATAAGTAATCCGCCACAACTCGCGCACTCATTACGCATAATAATCAAATGAGAAGAGCTAATCACTACTCACATACAGTATATGTGTAATAAGGGGTGAAAACGTGGATAATTATTATTATATCCATACGTATTTCTTGTAAATTTGGCAAATTGGGCGCGAATTTACAAGACAATTTGTTAAATCTAGTAAAATACAAAATATTTTATACTTGTTTTTAAACTAATTATATGTAAGTAGTATAGATAAATGTATTTTAAAGACTAACTTTGATTTAACTTATAATTAATTAAGTTTTAATGTTAAAACTGGACGCGTCTCGAATACGCCAGGCATACCCTGGCGCGCGCTCAATACGCCTTAGGGCGCTGGAGTGTTGGACTTTAACAATCCTATAGAGAACGACACGCCCGGGCCCGCCAAGGTGTATTCGAGAAGTGCCCGCCCGCCCAGTTTTTCATTATTAAAATTTAATTAATTAGATTAAAAGTTAGTCTTTTTAAAAACATTTATCCTTACTACTAGCATCTAATTAGTTAAAAAAAATAACCACAAAATATAATATAATTTACTAGATTTAACAAAATGTCTGGTAAAGTCGCGCCCAATGTGCAACAAATACGTCTGCATATAATAATAATTGTCCCCTTTCACCCCTTATTACAGGACGTAATATATGAGAAAAGTGCTTAACCCCTGCCATTTTTTGGGGCATGCCGAGCATATTGGGCGCGGGCGAGCGGGCGTGTGGACGTATTACTCACGCGCCCGCCCAACCGTCGTTCCCTACAATCCATACAATCATTTGACAATCAATGATGTGGTGAATGCTGTCCTCACATTATGTGACACACCCACCACTCTCGCCATCATTCAGCAAATAAGGTTGTTGGTTATAACTTATAACTATGTTCTCTTAATATTATTGAACACAACTAAATTTATTTCCAGTAGAGATATAAAGAAAATAAATTAAAAGTATAGATGAGTTGATAAAAAAGTCATGATGATTAATTTGATTATTAATCGTAACAATAGTAATATTTTGGATTGACTTATTTGTAATAAAAGTGTGATTTACAGTAAATTGATGTTGCGGGCTTACGAAGTTGTCGTAAATATGAGAAAATGCACCTAGGATTTTGTTACTTTTACAAATAAATTCCCTGTTACTTGTCTAGTGTCTAGACTCTAGCTCAATTAATTTTTTATATCCAATATTTAGACTAATAATTTATGTAATTATTCGTTAGTAAAGCAAATTATTCTGGAAAACATTTTGTTAACTGGTCACATTTCTACCAATAATTCTTTTCAGTTTATATGTTTAATAAATTAAATAATATAATAATTACATAAATAGTGTATACATTATAATAAAAAGAATAATGTCAAATTAATAGTGAAATCTCATATAATATGATCACGTATTTGCTATAAATGTAAATAATAATGAATAAAGAGAAACAATAAACTACACATCGTAAATAGCATGTTGCATTTTTAAAAAATGTATTTCCAGCAAAGTGACAACCTTAATAACAATATTTATAGTAGAAATAATGAGTACCATAGCTGTTGTATAACTGTATTGTTATACTGTACTCTCTCTACATGATTGCATTGACTTGACTACTGTATTGCATGAATACTGTACTATTAATACCAGTACTAATACAGTAATAGTTCGCCCATTTGCACAATTGAATGCAATTGCATATCTTTGTGCAATACTGTATTCACTTCATAGTGTTTGTTCGCCACAACAACTGCAATACCAGTCAATAGTATTGAACACTCATTCAAATCGGTATTCAATATAACATTGCGGGCATTGAGTGGACACTCATTGTGACACTCATTGTGACACTCATTGACACGATTGACTCGCTGTGTGACAGTCTGTGCGAGTGATGACCGGTTTCGTGACGTGTGGGCCCAATGAGGCTCTCGTGGTGTCGGGTATGCCGTGAAAGCATGAAAACCATGACCAGTGTATTGATATTCTTGGTGTGTCTGTGTGTGTCCTGTAGGGTGTTGTCATCGCCGTCCACTGATGGTTCCGGGCGGACGTGTGTTCGTGTGGCCCGTCATCCAGAAGGTGCAGAGGTATGTCTGTCGGCGATGTAGTGGTCAATGGCTTATGGGTTAATGGGTTGATGTGATTGTCTGTAGGATAACACTGAACACAATGACTCTGACCATAGAGTCCCCGCGCGTATACACCCAACAGGGAGTTCCCATATCCGTGACGGGCATCGCACAGGTGAAGATCCAGGGACAGAACGCAGACATGTTGAGGGCTGCCTGCGAACAGTTCTTAGGCAAGTCTGAGGACGAGATAATGAACGTCGCGAGAGAGACACTGGAGGGCCACCAGAGGGCTATCATGGCCTCCATGACCGTCGAGGAGATCTACAAGAATAGGAAGAAGTTCTCGAAGAAGGTGTTCGAAGTGGCGTCGAGTGATTTGGTGGACATGGGCTTCACTGTGGTCTCCTATACCATCAAAGACATCAGTGATGAGGAGGGATACCTGAAAGCCCTGGGATTGGCGCGAACGGCAGAAGTGAAGAGAGACGCGCGCATTGGCGAAGCGGAGGCCAAAAGGGATGCTCTCATTAAGGAGGCGCTCGCGGAGGAGGAACGGATGGCCGCCCGCTATGTCAACGACGCAGAGATAGCCAAAGCCCAGCGCGACTTCGAGCTCAAGAAGGCTGCCTATGATGTGGAGGTGTTCTCCAAGAAGGCTGAGTCGGACCTCTCCTACAATCTACAGGCGGCCAAAACACGCCAACGCATCAAAGACGAACAAATGCAGGTTAGACCCCATCCCTGGTTATACCACTCGTTGTTTAGGGCAATATACCGGTCGTATAGTATAGGGGACAGGGGTGGAGCCATTGCCTTACAGTGCACTTACCGAATATAGTATTGTATTACCGGAGCTAATACTGCAGTGGTTTAGCAAACATTTGCATTGAATGGTTGATAGACTGGTGAAGTAGTTGTGGTGATGACTGGTTGTGATGGTGTGTTGTGTTGCAGGTGAAGGTGATTGAGCGGACGCAGGAGATCCAGGTGCAGGAACAGGAGATCGTGCGCAAGGAGAAGGAGTTGGAGGCGACGGTGCGAAAGCCGGCCGAAGCGGAGAAGTACAAGTTGGAGAAGTTGGCGGAAGCGCACAGGAATAAGATCATTATGGAGGCCGAGGCAGAGGCTGAGGCGCTGCGACTGCGAGGAGAGGCCGAGGCGTTCGCCATTGAGGCCAAAGCGAAGGCAGAAGCGGAACAAATGGCCAAAAAGGCGAACGCATACAAGGAGTACGAGTCGGCCGCCAAAATCGATATGATTTTGGAAACTCTGCCTAAGGTTGCACTCAATACTATCTATACTATTAATACTATGCAATGCATACTACTTGTGCCCACTCGTAGTCCACAGTTTATATTCATATCGATTTGATTGTCCAATAGATTGCCGCTGAAGTGGCCGCACCGTTAGCTCAATGCAATAAAGTGGTTATGATTAGCAATGGCGACAGTGAGGTGGGCGCCGGCAAACTGACGGGTGAAGTGCTCGACATCATCACTAAAGTCCATGTGGCTGTCTCCCAACTCACGGGAGGCACTCCTTTGGCTAACGTAAGTGGACCTAAGAATCATCGCCCGTCCGCTACACTTGTAAACCCATAACATGTTTGCCATCCCTTTCCTCTTATCCCTTTCCTCTTATCCCTTTAATATTGTTGAAATGAGTCTCAATTTATGAACAAATTATACTGTATATGATTATATGATTATATGATTTACAATATTTTTAATGATTATGCATTTTATTTATTTATATATTATTTTGTTATTTTGATTATAAGAATGTTATTAAGTTATTATTGATATGAATAATAACAATATTTATT